CGATTGGGATCTGATATCACCTTAAGTTTGGGCAACTCTTGGGAGTCAATCCGCTCCACACTCACAGAGCATGGCTTCAGTTGTTTCACTAACTCTTCATAACTAATGGCATAAATCAATAATCACTTAATTGGGACACAATTAGCGTTGAAAAAAATCAAAACAAACCTCTCATTTGAGTCACTCATCGCTCGAGCAATCAGTCAATCAATGGCTCATTAGTTAAGCGAATCAAACATAAAAGATAGCAAAACATGCGTTAAACAAATGAATTAATGAAATACTTGATTGTAAACTAAAATATAATGCAATTGAATTGAATTTAGTGTTTGTCTGTTAAGAGTGGACTCAAAACAGACAAATCAGACAATAAATGTATGCCTAAAGTGGCGCTCAATTTGTCTGCACTTTTTGAGGGCCAAAACTTGGCTCACGTTTGGAGAGCACTGAATGAACGGTCCCTTCGCTCGCACTTCACTCCACTCTTCACTACGGTTGAAAATGCCTACTAGGCATTATGCCCACTGGGCATATGCCTAGGCATAAATGCCCGGCATTTTGGGCATATATATTTTATGCCCAGTTGGGCATAAAATTCGGGGGGCGAATTNGGCATTTTGGGCATATATATTTTATGCCCAGTTGGGCATAAAATTCGGGGGGCGAATTGGGGGAAAATTGGGGGCAAAATGGGGGGATGACACACTTTACTACTTACGCCATCTGGTGTGGTGCCTTTTTGGATAGAAACGTGCCGGGCATATGCCGGGCACGTGCCGGGCATATAGGGCATATATATTAAATGCCGGGCATTTTTTCAACCGTACTCTTCACTGTCTATCAAAAGGCTTTTAAATTGATTTTGAGTTTCAAAACAAAACCATCAAAATTTGTCTGAAGAGTCATTTGAATTGAATTCACACTCAAAAGCGTTTCATTGCTTTTCATTTTGATTACGATTACAGAAGATTGTGAACAAGTGTTGCCATCAATGGATAGCAAGTGTCCGCCCGTCGCCAACGCCGGCGCCGCTGATCCCAAAGAGGCCAAAGACGTGGTTCAGTTCGTATGTATTGCTTGTATTGCTGTCTATGTCTTTGATTTGGATGTAATTGCAATGTTGTGGTGATGTTTAGGTGCAAACACTGCTGCAGTCGGTCGAAGACAAGTTCCAGCAAATGTCTGACCAGATCTTGAGCCGAATCGATGAAATGGGACACAGAATCGACGACTTGGAGCACAATCTAAATGAATTGGTCTCACAATCGGAGGTTAATAATGAAGACAATGTCAACACTAATCATATGATTAATTCAAACGCTCAACAAATCAACAAATAATGCAATACTTATATTCATTTGTAAAACATTATTATTATTTTTGACATTAATTTAATATTTAAATATTGTTTTTATATTTAATTCAATTGATTGATACAAAACATAATAATTGGTTTATAAAATATAAATGTATTGTATATTCAAAATAATTTGTAGAAAACATTTGGTTCGCTATTATTGTTAATAACATTATCGGATGTATAAGTGGCTGAATCTGATGTACAGCTTATGATCTGTATTCCTCCTAACAGTAATAGCGGTTCATTGGCAACATCTTTGAGAACGTTTGAAATGGGATTCTCTGTAATCAATAGTTTGACCAAATGTTTAGATTCACAATTTAAACAGTGTGAAAGGTTAAGCATCTAAAGATATAGTAAAGTTTCATATTATTTTACATATTATTTATTTAAACAAAGGTTTAATTAACGAAGATTTTTGAATTGACAAAAACAATTCACTGTAAACTTTCAATGCGTTAAACTTCAAGTCTTTATCGATTTTGCAAATGTTATTTGAATCCAATATTAAGACTTCGAGTTGTTTCCAAATTAATTGCTTCTAAAAACTTAACTGTTTTTGTTAAGTGACAAAACTTTCAATGCGTTAAACTTCAAGTCTTTATCGATTTTGCAAATGTTATTTGAATCCAATATTAAGACTTCGAGCGATAGTAAGTGATTGAATGTTTTGCTCAATTTAAGCAAACGATTGCCACTTAAATCAAGTGTTTGAATGTGTGACAAACGATGGCTTTCATACAACGCCGTGATGTTTAAGTTATTTAACAAAACGCAATCCATTGATTGTATTGTTTCCAAACGCTCTCTCACAATGGTTTTGCTCTCTATATAAACCATTGATTCAAAGGTTTCACATTTCAATTGCAATCATACATTGTTCATGAATTACTCACTCAAGTCGTTGTAGTAATTGTTTCTCAATGGATCCAATTTAATGAGTGTATCAAATATAGAGCCCGTTTCCGATTTGTTTGGTTCATTCCATGCAAGGGTTAGGTTCACCCCTAGAAATATTCAGTTTAGGCATTCATTACTTAAATATTCAGTATTTTAATGTCTATTATAAACTAACATTTATTGTTTGGCTCTAATTTGTGTAATTCACGCAATGTCTTCAGATAAGACTCCTCTAGAGTCCACTGTTGGTCCAAATTGTGTGACTTTCTCTCCCAAACAAACAAATGTTTTTCATTTGTTTCGTTGGAATCAAGTTTTAAATCAATTAATTCAACTAATTCTGGATTTTTGGCAAATGTTGGAATTGGACTAATAGTTAGTCCATTGATTTGAGTGGTGGGGAAGGGATCCAAATGAATGAACCAAACTTTAGAGTCGGTATCATTGGGCGAATTCCAGTCACAATTGGTCAGCATTTTGTCGTTTACAACGACTGATACTAAAGGCTTGTGTTTCAGAGGACGGGACAGATTGAGAACGAGTAGCCCTTGACTTCTATTCAATACAATTCTGTTGATTTTAACACTGTTTTCATTATCTAATTGTTTTGAGGGAAGAATATTGCGGCCATAATTAGTAGAGACGAGCCATTTATGGTAAAACCAGGCCGACTGGTCAGTCGGGTCCGTGAATATGGCGTTCTCTACCAAATCGTACTCTTGTTTCCATTGTTTACTGAAGTCATAGCTATGATTATTGGCCGCAGACCTGAACAGACAGCTCCGGTAATACCAAGAACTGAAGTTTGAAAAGTTTTGCTGAATCTTATGTAAAGTGAATTCCAATTCCGATTCGACGTTATCTCCGGCCAAATGTGACACAAACCGCCGGTAATCCCAACAAAGAACTAAAATATTTAATACATTTAGTCGTATTTGCATCAATTAAACAATCTTTGGTTTGACTAACAGTTCCGTTCATCAAATTGAAGGAATTTATTGCACAAAGAGATCTCAGTCTTGAGGTCAGGAGTGGACATATTCTGGATAATCCATGACCTCTGATGCCAAACACAGTATGA